CTACAGCGGCAGCCTCAGATGTGCGTGTGCATTTTAAAACGACTCCCATGTCAGTCAAAGCTAGACAGCTCTCTCACATGCTATCACCTCCCAGCCTTTTTTGTTGTGCAGTGCATTTCCAGGCAGATTTGAGTGCTCGTCAATTTCTCGAATAGTAAGGTTGGCCCCATGGGGTGTATGGCCACATCAGACACCATTGAACACACGTTTTGTCTGGCAGGGTTTGCCATTATTAATTTAGAGGTTGGGTTAATGGTACGTTGGATCTGAATAAAAGATGATCTAGAATATGCTGGTCAGGGGTTTTGTACCTGACCAGGCAGCTGGAATGACTGTTTTGTGCTTCTTTAGATCTTGTTCCTCAGTGAGATGTGAGCCGCTGAGACCAGCCGGTTGGATCACACATGCAGGCACGTAGCGCAAGACCTTACTGGAAGTCATGATTACTGGGGCGGTCACAAAAACAGACACTTTACAACCCACAGGGCTTTAGCTTGCAGAGAAAAATCAGGCTGCAGTCACGCCATATGGGAAGTCCTTAGTCATGACTCATGACATTATGCCTGCTCGTGTGTCAAATGTTGTTTTAAACGTATTCTGTGCCATGCACACACACGCGGGCGAGGTGTGCAAAGGTCTTTCCATCTAGCATTTAACCTCACTTGCATTAAGTGCATTAAATCTTGTGCAGTATACGGCAAATTTCTGATGAATTGCTTTTAACCAACCATGAAAAAATCATTAAGGCCTCAGAATCTGTGGATTAGAGTGAGTTTGAATATTTCACACACTCTGGGCTTGTTTAAGGCCGTTGAATCTACATTATCTAGGACAGGATAGAAGCAAGGAGAATGCAGTAAAAGAGAACAGGGGTGTTAATGATAAATTGATGTTTATCATTTTATAATTTGATCGATTATACTGATGGACAGTTGATAATTTTGGCACTTTTGACATCCCCGGTACTACAACAGCTACATAAAATATGGAATTTGAGGAAAGACTGGGATGTGTGAGTGAGGACAGTTTTATGAAAAAGTTAAGTAAAAGCACCATTCTTTCCATATTTTGTTTAACTTGAATGTTCCAGATGTCATTTATGTAGATTAAGTAGTTCTTGAAAATAATTTAAATTGATTTGACACACTAATCAAGTTTATTAATTTAAAGATGATTTGCATTGTTTATCAGCTTCACATTGTTCTCCATATCGTGCAGCCCTAATTATTGGTTCTATGGTTTTTAGGTAGGCCTATATTTGTTTAAATTGTTAAAAGTGGGCTATATTCACATCAGCTATCTTGTATTTTGTTTAACTTGAATGTTCCAGATGCCATTTATGTAGATTAAGTAGTTCTTGAAAATAATTTAAATTGATTTGACACACTAATCAAGTTTATTCATTTAAAGATGATTTGCATTGTTTATCAGCTTCACATTGTTCTCCATATCGTGCAGCCCTAATTATTGGTTCTATGGTTTTTAGGTAGGCCTATATTTGTTTAAATTGTTAAAAGTGGGCTATATTCACATCAGCTATCTTGCATGATTAACAGCTCAGCATTTGATTGGTTTAAATTGAAATGAATATTATAAAATTGGAAGCCCTGATTTAGAACATTATTTTCCTTTTAATGATGAAATTAATCGTTTTTGTTGGATTATTTCATTGCATGATTTTACTTTCCATAGCTCACACAGTCGATCATGGTGCTAGCAATGCCAAGGTCATGGGTTCTACTCCCAGAGAAAACAAGAATTGAAATAACAAATAAAATGTGTACCTTCAAAGCAATATATTTCACATTTGATTAAAGCGTCTGCCAACTGCATGTCAAATGTAAAATAAATCCAAATAAAAAATAAGTTTAATAAATCCTACTCTCTGATAGATTTAAAATTCCACTGTGTAACCTAATGCAACAGTTATCCTCCAATCTGATTGGCTGAACTAGGGCTGGGCGGTATAGCCAAAACAATTATCACGATAAAATTTTTCATATCATGATAAATTTCAAAACTTTATTTCTTTCAAGTTTAAAGTCAGATTTTTGCTCCCAAGTGAAAATTGTAGAAACCAAACCGTTAATTGTGGTTGT